GACCGCGCGGCGGCTGCCAACGGGGACAACGTCAGGGGGTGGGAAAGCTACGGTCGACTCCAGGAATCGTATCGAGGTCGGCTTGGGGAGGGCGCCCTCATGGTCTGTTCGTGGTTGCCAGGTGTTCTCGTGCGCCCTGGGCGACGGTGCCCTCGAATGTTCTTCAGCTTGGCGCGCGGAACGTCCCATGTTCGTGAAGGACGCTATCGTGCCTTGGGTCCGGCCGCGGGCTCCGAGGGGATGCATCGGCCCCCATTTGCCGGCTCATCGCCGACGGGGGCTTGGCAGCCCGCCCGGGCCAGGACCACGCGGCGTGATTCCCTGCGTGCTCCAGGGGCGCCACGCCGGGGGGGGGGGGCGGCGCAGGGGCCGCTTCGAGATGTTCAGGGGCAGCGTCTCCTCCTCCTCCTCCTCCTCCTCCTCCTCCTCCTCCTCCTCCTCCTCCTCCTTCTCCTTCTCCTCCTCCTCTCAAGCGCAGCACGGGGGCCTGCCCGAGGCGCTTGGGGCACACCGCGCGGCGCCGCCATAGCAGCGGCCTGTTGGCGGTGACGAACACCCGTGCACCCCTCCCCCCCAGCCATGGGAGGCAAAAAGGGACAGAGGTTCGGCTGGAGCACTTGCGGCAAGTGCCAGGCCTGGGACTGGGACGACAAGCTGAAGGCCCGCCAGCACAGATGCGGGCGCTGCGGATCGGAGGTCGCCACCCCGAGCCACCAGCCCCAGCAGCAGCAGCAGCAGCAGCAGCAGCCCGCAGGAGTCCAGCCCCAGCAGCTAGCGATGGTGACCGTGGACGCGACGGCGCTGCAGCAGCTGATCACCACCCTGGCAGCGGGCTCACCCTCCCCGCAGCTCGCTGCTGCAGCGGCAGCGGTACTCCAGCTACACCAAGGGCCTGCTGCCAAGGAGCCCGCCCCCGACGAGCTGGTGAAGAAGGCATCCAGTGCTTGGAAGGACGCCAGCTACCGCCATGAGCAGGCGGTGAACCAGGTCCTGGTCTGCGAGGAACGGCTGGCAGCGGCACGTGAGAAGGAGGTGACGGCGGCGCTGGCCCTGGCACGAGCCGAACAACAGCGACGCGATGCAGCAGCGACCTTCTCGAAGCAGGTGGGAGGTGAGGACAAAGAGGCAGTCTTCACGCTCTCATGGGGTCCAGCCCTGCTCGAGAACCTCGACGGGCTGGGCGGCATAGGGGACACCGAGAAGGCGGACCTTGCGAAGGTGCTGGGCGAGCTCAACAGCTACAAGAACCAGTTCGCGGAGCGGGGCGACGAGATCAAGGCGCGCCTGGACAGCGCGAGGCGCGGCCACGAGGCGATCAATGAGCGGAGGGCGAAGAAGCGGAAGCCACCCGACGGAGCGGACACTGCAGCCGTTGCACCAGCCTCGGCTTCGGGTGCGACGACGACGCGGGTTGCGACACCAGGGGCCTCAGCTACTCCACCCACCGCAGAACATGCTGGGGCCACCGATGTGAGCTCCGCCGCAGCCGCGGAGATCTCGGCCAAGAAGTTTGAGGAGATGCGCGCGCAGCGGGTGATGCAGGAGGCGGCCAAACAGCTCGTGGTCACCCAGAAGGGCAGCGGCAAGGGCGCCGCCGCCTCCAGCACCGCCGCCGCCTGAAGGCGAAGCCCTGCCCACCAGAAGACCGCGGTGGAGCGCGGGGATTTTTTTGCGGCAACATAACGCAGTGGGGACCGACGGCGCTGAAGTGGATCGAGGGGTCCTTGCTGCGGCGCGACTTCCACTGCTACCTAATTCAGGAGACGCACCAAGACATGGGCAGCATCACCGACGTGGAGCGCCACTTGAGCGCGCTGGGTCTCAAGATGTGTTTCTCGGCGGCGCTGTCTCCACGTAACTCTACGCGGGGCACGCGCGGGCGTGTGTGCGCGGGCGCCCGCAACTACCTCCAGACCTCCACTTTTCGGGAGCTGACCGCGCCAGGGTGGACAACGCCCGCCACGTCGTGCTGCAGTCCTACTGGAGGGGCAGTGGACTTCTACGACTGGGTGCCCATGCCCTGGCACATGAAGGGCTACAGCATCCTGACCATCTCGCTCTACTTGGACCACGGATCCTCCCTGCGCGTGGGAGTGAACGCGAGGGCGCTCAGCAGCCTGGGCAGCTTCCTGCGGACGACCTCCAACCCTTGGATCGTGGCAGGCGACTTCAACGTTTCGCCAGATACGCTCTGGCGTTCTGGCTGGCCTGCCGCACTCGGCGCCGCCACCGTAGCCAGCGTGCCAGACGGCAGCTTCACATGCGCCATGAAGGGCGCCACCCCTTCCATCATTGACTACGCACTTCTCAGCCCACACGCAGTGCCCCACTTCGTGAGCATCACCACGTGTGCGGACGTCCCGTGGAAGCCGCACCTTGGCCAGGCCATCCGACTTCACGGAGCCGCACAGGAGTTCTGGACGCGACAACTTCGACTCCCCTCCAACTTCAAAGACCCGCGGCTTCCTGCCCGAACAGCGACGTCTACGCGAAGCCACCGAAGCGGGGCGACCACCACGACCACGACCAAGACCACAACCACCTAGGCCTGTCTGCGACGACCACACCGAGCTCAACAAGCGATGGGAAGCCCTCACTCCGAGCGGATGGACTGTTCCCGCCACCGGTTTTGATGACACATCAGTGGCTGGCAGACCAGCAGAAACAGAATCATACCACGACGAGGACGACCCCTTCGCACAGCTCGACCTCGGCCCTGACATAGCAGCAGCCGACGAGCACCTCCCACCAGAGCTGGAGACGACCGACAGAGACCCGTTCCACGACCTCCAACACGCCAACGAGCACGACTTGCCCTCAGCTTGCCCCTCCTCCGCGGCTCCCACAGCGGGGGCGCCTAGGCCTCCCAACACTACGTCGGGGGGGAAAACCACGATGGAGGAGGAGCGGCTACTTCTGTCAGCGCTCCAACCACCAGCGCGCACGACGGCGCCCACATACATCAAAGACAGCATCAGTTACCGAGCAGATCCGCAGGCCGCGGACAACCTGGGCCAGGCCTACGCCGCCTTCATGCACACCATGGAAGCCTTCTTCTGCGACGCCTACGGCATCAGCGAGGACGACCGACAGAAGTTCTTGGGGCGCGGCAGGGGTTACGAGTACCATTGGACCAGCCCGGCCACCTGCGGACACCGGCGATCACGTTACGCCAACCAATACGCTGACTGGTGGAGCAGTACAGCTACAGCTCTAGGCCACTACGACACACTCCTCACCCGACAACGAGGCGAGCAGCAACGACGAGCCATCGCCGATAGCTGCCGACGCCTCGCCCATCGGGGCACCCCCCAGCAGGACGCCACGAGTCAGCTCGAGCTGCCCTGCACCGACAACTATGGAAGGAAAGACTACTGGATATCACTGTCCTCGACCACGACATCATCGAAGGCATGGCCGCCCAGGCGACTCAGGAGTTGCAGTGGACCCTACGACGCGATATCCGAGCCAGCAACCACGATTACGCCCAATGGGTCTGCGACATGGCCAAGACCTCCCCTGGCACCATCCACCGCATCACGAAGGAGCAGCCCAGGTTCGAGGATGAGCTGATCGACGCCCGCGGCACCAAGCACTTCACAGCTACGGAGATCGTCGACGCCAAGGCCGCGCAGTTCACCCAGCTGTGGCACGCGGACACCACTACGGACGACCAAAATCATCAGCTTGATTAGGGAGCTTAAGGCTGCAGCGGTCGAGGAGGACATGCCTGTATGGACGCTGGAGGACCTCGACCGCGCGCTGCAGGGCGAACCAGACAAAGGTCGGGGAGCGGACAAGATGGTCATGACGGGCGCCAGACGACTGCCACCGCCGGGGCGGCAAGCACTGGTTCATCTCTACAACCTGTGCGAGGCCAAGCTCGGCTTTCCGCGGCAATGCATGCTGGCGATCATAATGCTACAACCCAAGCAGAAAGGAGACCGCGCACTAGCTCTACTCACGCGGTTCTGCAGATGCTGGGAACTACTCAACAGATTTCAAGTGCGCGGCTGGATACGAACTATGCAATCTAAGTGGGAGGCGGCAGTTGCCGGCAACTCTTGTCTACGAGAGGCGCTGTGCCGCACAATCTCCGACGAAGTGACTCATGAGCTAGGTATTGTGCATGATGCGAGTTTGGTGGATACACACGGGTTCTATGATTCACTGCTCTACCACGGCATCGGCAAAGCCTCCACAAGGTTCAAGCTCCCGCCGGGAATCTTGGCCATGGCGCTGCAGATGCACACTGTTGCGCGTGTGTTCCGTCAAAACGGGGCGTATTCCGTACCACCGTATGCACGACGGTCACTATTGGCAGGCTCGCGACATTCCGACAACCTGGCACGATCGGTGGTGCACGTAGTGCTCGAGGGTCTCACGACGTCATCACCAACGTGCATGCCGCGGGCTTGATTCGACGACATCAGCATCCAGTGCTCCGGCACCAGATCCAATATCGCCGACCGCATAGTCTCCGCCACCCACAGCATCTTCATAGAGCTCTCGAAGCATCACTTGATAATGGCCAACAAGTCTATCCTGTTTACGAGCCTCCCCGAGGCCACCAACGATGCAATTGCAGGGCTCCTTGAGCTAGGAGTCCCTATTGCGATGGCGGTGGAGGGACGGGACCTCGGCGTCGACCGCGGAGGCAAGTCCACCACCCGACGACGAACACACCAGACACGACGACGACTGGCAGCTAAGCGCTTCACGTCCATCGGTAAGAAGCTACGACCACTACCCATTCGTCAACGGCAGCAGATCATCAACTCAGGACCCATGCCTTCACGACATACGCCTACAAGATATTCGGAGCCTCACCTGCGGAGACGCTCCGCACTCGACAGCGGTGCGCTAAAGCTTTGCGACGCCCTTGGGCGGGGAGGTGCCTCACCACGCTCCTCGACCTCGAGGGCCACGACCCTGTCATCAGCATACCGACAAGCCAAGTACGAGCGTGGTTCGACATGTGGGCCAAGAACCCAGAACTC